GGTTCTGCTGAAATTTATAAAATTGTTTTACATACTTATTCCCATTCAAAAAAAAAGTGACCCGACAGTGTGGAAATTATAGAACAATAACACTAATACCACACACTAGCAAAATCCTACTGAATATGATCTAGAAACGATCTAGAAACAGTACATTGACAAAAAACTACTAGAAATACAAGCTGGGTTTAGACGAGGTTATGGCACCAGAGACAATATCACCCATGTCAGATGGATCTTGTTGGCAGAAAGCAGAGAGTACCAGAGAAATGTCTATTTGTGTTTCATTGACTGTGCAAAGGCATTTGTGTGGATCACAACAAATTGTGGCTAACTTTGAGGAAAATTAGAATCCCAGAATATCTACAACCAGGAGAAGATAAAATAGATGAACGGGACCTTCTAAGAATCAAATCCCTATGCATGTCCAAAAACTTCTCTAACAGGGTAAAAAGGGAAGCCACAGACTGGGAAAAAGTATTTGGTAATGACATGTCAGATAAGGAATTTATATCTAAAATTTATAAAATACTTGAGCACCACAACAAGATAAAGGTAAATAATCAGTCGAAAAATGGGCACAGGATATGAATAGACACTTCACCAAAGAAGACATTCAGATGGCCAAGAAGCACATGAAGAACTATTCAAAATCCCTAGCTCTAGGATAGATGCAGATCAAAACAACCATGTGATATCATCTCAGCCCAATAAAAATAGCAAAATTTAACAGAACAGCAAGCAACAAATGCTGGTGAGGTTGTGGAGAAACTGGAACCCTTAATCACTGTTGGTGGGAGTGTAAAATGGTGCACCCACTGTGGAAAGTGATGTGGCGCTTTCTCAGAAAGTTGCAAATAGAGATACCATTTGACCCAGCAGTTCTACTACTGGGAATATACCCTAAAGAGACCATAACCGACATCCAAGCAGATATATGCACACCCATGTTTATCGTGACTTTGTTCACAATAACAAGGAGTTAGAAACAACACAAGTGCCCATCAGCAGACAAATGGATAGAGAAGCCGTGGTATATTCACATAATGGAATACCATGCTGCATTGAAAAACAAGGAACTCATGCAATATTATTCAAAATGGGTGACCCTGGAGGGCATTATGCTGAGTGAAATATTTCAGTCACAATAAGACAAATACTGCATAGTACCACTGTTGTAGAACGGGACTGACATCAGGGTTAGGGTAAGACTGAGAAAAACTGGATAAATTATGTATACTGCATTGAAACAGATGAGTGAGAGAACACTTTAAAAACGATATATGTTAGGGTATTATGGTTATCACAAGAGTCCAGAATTAAGGATGCATAGTGGTGTGTACTCGGGGCAGGTGGGGGGAGGAAGTTTGTATATCAGTGAAGGAATTTTTCTTTTACTTTTCAAAGAGAGGAGCGAACTGGGGGTTGGGGTGGGCAGAGAGAAAAATGTAACAATGAATGAGTGGAAATCCAAAATCTCTGTCAATGTGCATTAAAATTAATTTTTAAAATTGCACAAAAATTTAAAAAAAAAAAAAAAGAATCCCAGAACACTCGATTGTGCTTATGTGAAACCTATACTTGGACCTGTATGCAGAGCAGATTATCTGGGAGGCTGGGCTCTATGAGGAGAATTACGGCATCAGAATTGGTGGAAGATCTATTAACAATCTGCATTATGCAGATGATACAACCCTGCTTGCTAAAACTGAGGAGGACCTCAAGCACTTGCTGCAGAGGGTCAAGGACTGTAGCCTCCAATATGGATTGAGGCTCAGTGTCAAGAAGACAAAGATTCTCACCACTGGACCAATCGGCAGCATCAGGATGGATGGTGAAGAGATTGAGATTGTACACAGCTTCAGTTTGCTCGGCTCCATGGTCAACACTCTTGGCACCAGCAGCCAGGAAATCAAAAAACGTATTGTGATGGCAAAGTCTGCTGTTAGGGACCTCTCTAAAGTACTCAAGAGCAATGGTGTCTCTCTGGAGACTAAGGTGCGCCTGATACAGGCCATGGTCTTTGCAATCACTTGTTAGGCATCAGAGAGTTGGACAATGACTAGGGAGGACAGAAGGAGAATTGATGCCTTTGAGCTGTGGTGCTGGAGAAGAGTATTGAATGTACGTACCCTGGACTGCCAAGAAAACAAACAGATTCAACCTGGAGAGGGTTAAACCAAGCTACTCCTTGGAGGCAAGGATTCTGGGGTTTTGTCTGGCATACTTTGGGCATGTTGCAAGGAGGGACAGGTCCTTGGAGAGAGAGACATCATGCTTAGGAGGGTGGAGGGGACGGCACAAGAGGGAAAAATGCTCTATGAGATGGATTTATTCAGTGACTGAGGTAATCGGGATGGGTGTGTCAGAGACAGTTTGATTGGCACAGGATAGCAGGGTTTAGGGCTGTTGTACATAGGGTTACTATGAGTCGCAAACGACTCAACGACACATAACAACAGCAACTACATACTTGGACCAGGAAGCAGTCCTCAGAACAGAGCAAGGAAACAGTGCATGGTTCAAATTCAGGAAAGGAATGTGTCAGTGATGCATCCTGTCTCCATACCATTTCAATCTGTATGCAGAACATTTGGGAAGCAGGGTTTTATGAGGAGGAATGTGGCATCAGGATTGGAGGTAGACTCATTAACAGCCTGTGTTATGCAGATGACCTTGCTTGCTGAAAGTGAAGCAGCACTTGCTACCGAAGCAGGTCAAGGACTGTAATCTTCAATATGGATTGAAGCTCAACATCAAGAAGACAAAGATTCTCACCACTGGCCCAATAGGCAGCACCATGATAGATGGAGAAGAGATTGAGTTTGTTAGCAATTAAAGGTTGCTTGACTCCTAAATCAACACTCTTAACACCAGCAGTCAGGAAATCAAAAGACAAATTCCATTGGGAAAATCTGATGTTAGAAACCCTCCAGAGTATTGAGAATCAATGATGTTAGTTTAGAGACTAAGGTATGTCTAATCTAGACCATGGTCTTTGCAATTACTGGCTATGCATCAGAGAGCTGGACAATGACTAAGTGTGACAGAAGAAGAATTGATGCCTTTGTATGGTGCTGGAGAAGAGTCTTAAACATATTGTGGACTGCCAAGAAAATAAACAGGTCTGTCTTGGAGAGAATGAAATCAAGTTTCCTCTTGGAGGCTGTTTGAAGCTCTGTCTCACATACTTTGGGCGTGTGGCCAGAAGAGACTGGACCTTGGAGAAGGACATCATGTTTGGAATAATGGAGGGACAGTGCAGGAGGGGAAAACACCAGATAAGATGGATTGATACAGTGACTAGGGCAGTGGGAGTTGGTGTGTCGGAATCAGTGAGATTGGCTTAGGACAGGGCAGGGTGCATTAATTTTGATTTTGAGTTGAGAGAGGAGGTGATGCTTGGTAATGGAAAGGTAGTGAAACTATAAAATACAAGCTATAATCTGAAAATCTCTCCAGAGATTGTTTTATATGTCAAGGAATAATTTGTATCATATAATCTTTAAATTTTTAATGTTTCGATCTCCACAACCTTTATCTAATTCTGGGAGGAATGGAAACTTGCAAGAATGAATGTAAAGACTTAGAGTTATTGTGTACCATGTACCAGTACTGCGCTAAATGCTTTACTTGTCATTGTATTGAACACTGTGAACAATCTTCTTATGTTACTCCCATCATGCAGTGTGTAAAATTTCAGTTTTATAGTTTCTGATCAGTGTGTGTGGGGTTTTTTTTCTGTTGTAAGACTGTTTCTTGAAATTCACTGTAGGAGATCGTTTTACACATACACACATCACACACCCATGCACCCATGTATATAGTTTTGTAGTCAAATAATGATTTTACTGCTCAAGTATAGGCACATATATGCATCCAAAGCAGAGGCTGTGGATGATTCACATTTCCTGTTGGGGAGGACAACTCTTAATTTTCTAATATCTAGCTAGTTGTCCTAATCTTTTCTGTGCTTATCAAGATGCTTTTGAACAGCAACACTTTTCTTAATGTAAGACCCTTCAGAAGATCAGGAATGAGTCCTTTGGACTTTAGATTTTACTGCCTATGATTATACAATTCCACACAAATCATTTAGTATTACATCAGTTTGTGGAAGAGTCTGTCATTTCTAGGCCAGTTTGTATATTTACTGCTTCATATAAATCTTCAGCTTTGACCAGGTGGGGACATTGTAGGTTTATGATGGAGCCTACTGGGACAGGCCTTTGCTAGGGAGAAAAGCATGCCAGCCTAAGGTGATGGTGTGTGCTACTGCAGCCCAGTCCCACAAGCCTCCTTTTTAAGCCCTAGTTTTCCTTGAAGTGTGATTGCACTCATGATGGCAGCAGTAAGGTGACACACACTTTAAAACTTCAAATGATATGAAATGATGTTGAATAAAAAAATTTTCCTCTCATCCTTGTCCTTCAGGCACTCAGTCCCTTTTCCTGGAGATAATCCAGATTGCCCATTACCTTCCGGATTTTGTGCTTGTAAAATCAGTAACATTTTTTATGCTCCTAGCCTCATCTATACTTTGTTGTGTTCATTTACCAAAACAGTTTAGATACTGTTCTGTAACAATACATCAGTCTTTTTTATAGCTGTAGGAACTGTCTATTCCACACAATGGATTTAAGCATAGTTGGGTGAAATAATTTTTTCTTTCAAGTAATATATAGGTATTTTTAGTCTTTTGCTCTTATAAGCAAGATAATAACTAGTGACATTGTATCTCTGTTATTACACCCACATATATGAACAGTCTTATAAACTCATTTTCTTAAAATGGTGTTCCTGGGTCCAGTGTTACTGCCATTTATAATTTTGATAGGAGAGATGTTTAAATGTACTGAAACAGTAGAATTTTGCATATTACCTACAGTGGAGTCTCACCTTGGAATAAAATCTAAGAATGGAAGTGTAAGAGTTAAATAATCAGCATAAATGCTAAGATACTAATAAAGTCTTATAAACTTTTGTTTTGTAGGTACACAAAACTAGGATATGCTGGGAATACAGAACCACAGTTTATCATCCCTTCCTGTAAGTATTTTTTAAAGTCACAAATAAGCTATTTTGAAGATTCTGTCCTATAATAAGAGTAAGGGGCACATGGGAAGTGCCATTATTTGACCTTTACCAACTTCACAGGAGGAAACTATCCCTGCCTACAGCATCAGTAACACAAAACCAGTTGCCTTGAGGTCAAACATATCCCCACACTCCCGTGCCTCTATACTCATCACCAATATTCCTGTACATCTTGGTCCAAAATTAAGTTGTGATAGCTTACAGACCACACAGAACCTTATTGGGAGAGTTAAAAAGTTGTAATTCAGATTAGTAACAAAGTCAGCTCCCATAATGTGCACTTAGATGCCTCAGTCTCATGGCTTACTGTGTTCCCAAGTTGTTAGTCCTTCTAGTATTCCCTTCCTTCCAGCTGTCTAATAGAGTTCTAAGTCTTAACAATTGGTTTCATCTGCACTTCTCAAAAGTCCCATCTCAAATCCATTTCTTCAGTTCAGCCATCCCTTCTTCTGTCATCCTGAATAGGGCTGGGGGATATCTCTCTTCTGTGCCTAGGTGAAGAATCTCTTTCAGTGTGGAAAGAATTTATCTATGCAGCTAGAGCTGTTCTGTTTATTGGTGAGACTAGCCAGTCCCCTTGTAGATTGTTGAGACATGCCAGTCCCCTTGTGGGATGGTAGATAGTCCTTTTGATAGGCCAGCATGCCTCACAAAGCCCCGCCCCTCAACATAGTCATCTGCACTAGAAAAGGCCATGTTGAGAGACAAGCTTCATACCTTCCCAGTTAGTAAGGTAGTCAGTTCTGTGACACTGTAAGAGTAAATCCTTTAAAACTGTAATTTGCTAAATTCTAAGGGTGGCTTCATATGAAAACTCCTGACTGTTTCAGTTCTCTGTTTAACAGGTCTCTTTAGAATGGGTGGGAAGCCCCCCCAAAAACCAAACCGACAATTGTTTATTTAATGAGGAAAAAAAAATGAAAGTGAGAGGTCAGTGTGTATATACATGCTTTTAGGACATTGCTACTAACAGTGTAAGAGTATTTACCTTAAGTAGTCTATCCCTGATCATATACCTTCAGAAGCAGTCATTTGGTTTGTAGATATGATTAGTGTTTGCAGGCCTAGTGTTTATTGACATTCCTGATTGATAAATGTCCATGATCTTAAATTGGGATTGTTGTTTACAGACCTGACTCTTAGGTTGACTGTCCAGCAGGCTTCAGAGACAATTAATCTCATTAGAGATTATCTCAGAAGAGATTGCTCATCTTTCTTAAGTTTAGTAGTTAGTGGATGTGAACTGGGTGGAAATCTGGTGGCTTAGAGGATAAAGAGTTGCACCTGCTAACCCAAGGACACTCAATTTGACTTCACCAACTGCAAAACACACTGGAGGGACAACTGTGAATCAGTCCTAACTCAGCTGCACATAACAACAACAAAACATATTTATGTTTGTATAAAGAAGATTTTCCAATAATTTTTGCCTTTCCAAAAATAATTTGGTAATTGTTAAAATGTAAAATACATTGTGATCTTTCTGTTGTACGGTTGTTAGGCTTTGGTGGCTGTACCATAGTGGTGGTTTTGGTTGGATGCTATTTGTTGCTATTTTCCTTTGTCATTTTTTTAGTTTCTTTTTTATTTTTTACCTCCTTTAAGAATTGCCTTCAGAAGAAGGCAAGCAGATCAAATGTGCCAGCTGCTCTCTGAGGGGATGTTGTGACTCCATTGCATTAAAATTAAGATTGTCTTATTTTCTTACAGCCCTTTTTTGTGTGACAATTTAAATATACTGTCATGTTTTGTTTATGACAAGTTGTACAAGTTAAAGGTCTCATTTGAAGAAAATTTTTAACATGTCTAACTTGTTTTGAAGGTATTGCTATTAAGGAATCAGCAAAAGTGGGTGACCAAGCTCAAAGGAGGGTGATGAAAGGTGTTGATGATTTAGATTTCTTCATTGGTGATGAAGCAATAGAAAAGCCTACATATGCCACAAAGGTATGTTTTTATGATTTGTATAAATAAATGCAAATTTTCATAAAAATTAGTTTGTCTAGTATTTGACCGTGTGGTTTCACTGAGTTTTAGGCTTAAATACCATTCACATTATCAAAATAGAAATTTCTTTTCATCTCCACCTTGTCTTAACCCTGCTATTGCTTTTATAACCAAAGGGAAAATTTTAATCTATTTAAAGTAATTGATATTTACTTTTCCATAACCATTGGATCTCAGAACACAAGATAATAATTGATTTTCCTTTTTTTTTATTAAAAAAACCTTTTTCCCTCCACACTTTATTGATATTATGTTTCATACATTGTGTTTTATAAAATTAATTACCATTGGACTATACCCACCATTACATCTGCGGAAGGAACTGCTGGAGAAGCTCAATATCAGCCGTGAAAACTAGGCCTTTTGTGGAGCCGATTGTGGAACAGATCACCAACTTCTCATATGCAAGCTCAAGCTCAAGCTGAGGAAGATTAAACCGAATCCATGGGAACCAAAATATAACTTTGAGTCTATCCCACCTGAATTTCAGAACCATCTCAAGAACAGGTTTGAGGCCTTGAACGCTAATGAGCGAAGACCAGATGAGTTGTGGGAGGATATCAAGGGTATCATCCAAGAAGAGTGCACACATTCACTACAAAGACAGAAGAGGAAGAAAAGACCAAAATGTATGTCAGAAGAAACTCTGAATATTGCACTGGAGCGCAGAGAAGCCAAAGCCAAAGGAAGAATTCAAGATACTAAAAACCTGAACAGAAGATTTCAAAAGGTAGCACGGGATGACATAGTAAATTATTACGATGAAATGTGCAAGGAGCTGGAGTCAGAAAACCAAAAGGGTCGAACTTGCTCAGCATTTCTTACGCTCAAGGAACTGAAGAACAATTTCAAAGCTTGAGTTGTTATAATCAAGGATGCTTTAGGAAGAATATTAAATGATCCAGGAAGTATCAAAAGAAGATGGAAAGAATATGCTAAGTCACTGTATCGAAAAGAATGGGCAAACATAGAAGAATTTAATGAAATAACATGAGCAAGAGCAAGCGCGTATGGTGATGAAGGAAGAAGTTCAAGCTGCTTTGAAGGAAATAGCCAAAAATAAGGCCCCAGGAATAGATGGTAAACCAATTGACATATTTCAGCTAACAGATGCTGCCGTGGATGTGCTCACCAAGTTGTGTCAAGAAATCTGGAGAACCACTTGAAGAGATCTATATTTGTTCCCATTCCAAAGAAAGGTGACCCAACAGAGTGTGGAAACTATAGCACAATATCCTTGATTTCACATGCAAGCAAGATTCTGGTGAAGATTATCCAAAAACAACTGGAATAGAACATCAGCAGAGAACTGCCAGAAGTCCAGGCTGGCTTTAGAAGGGGTCGTGGTACTAGGGATATTGTAGCTAATGTTCGATGGATCTTGACTAAAAGCAGGGAGTACCAGAGAAGTGCCTATCTGTGTTTCATTGATTATGCAAAGGCGTTTGACTATGTCGACCATAACAAACTGTGCCTGACTCTGAGAAGAATGGGAATCCCAGAACACTTGATCATGCTAATGCGAAACTTACATTTGAACCAAGAAACAGTTGTCACAACAGAGCAGGGTAACACTGCATTGTTCAAAATTGGGAAGGGCATACACCAGGGATGTGTCCGGTCTCCATACCTTTTCAACCTGTATGCAGAACAGATCATCCGGGAGGCTGGCCTCTATGAGGAGAAATTTGGCATCAGGATTGGTGGAAGATCTATCAATAATCTGCGTTATGCAGATGGCATGACCCTGCTTGCTGAAACTGAGAAGGACCTGAAGCGCTTGCTGCTGAGCGTCAGGGACTACAGCCTTCAATATGATTGAGGCTCAATGTCAAGAAGACAAAGATTCTCACCACTGGGTCAACTGGCAGCATCAGGATGGATGGTGAAGAGATTGATATTGTTCACAGCTTTAGTCTGCTTGGCTCCACAATCAACACTCTTGGCACCAGCTGCCAGGAAATTCACAGACATATTGCGATGGGAAAGTCTGTTGTTAGGGACCTCTCTAAGGTACTGAAGAGCAACGGTGTGTCTCTGGAGACTAAGGTGCGTCTGGTACAGGCCATAGTTTTTGCAATCCCTTGTTATGCATCAGAGAGCTGGACAATGACCAGGGAGGATAGAACACCTTTCTTTCACCTTGGGTCTCCCATACATATTTTACTAGTTATTCTTCTATTTTTATAACAGTGGTATTATGCAGTACTTATCCTTATGAGAATGAGTTCGTTTACTCAATGTAATGCCCTCCAGACCCTCCCAAGTTATGTAATATTGTTTAAAATCATTGCTTCTGATTGCTATTTAGTGTGAATGTACCACGGTTTCCATTCATTTGTTGTTGGACATGTGAGCCGTTTCCATGTTCTTGCGATGGTGAATAGTGCTGTAATGAACATTAGTGTTGAACATACATGTCTCGGTTCTAATTTCCTTGGGGTATACCCAGTATTGGAATAGCTGGATTGTACAGAATTTCTGTGTGCATCTTTTTTAGGAAACACCAATCTGCCTTCCAGAGCGGTTGTTGTTGTTGTTATGTGCCATCGAGTCACTTGCGATTCATAGCAACCCTATGTACAAGAGCTCTAAATGCTGTTCTACCCTGTGCCAACCTATCCATCTCAAAGGCACTTATTCCCACCACTCCAGTCACAGAAGCAATCCATCCAACCAGGAGTGTTGACTGGAACCAAGTACACGAAAACTGTTAACTATTTCAATCTCTTCACCATCCATACTGATGCTGCCAATTGGCCCAGTGGTGAGAATCTTTGTTTCCTTGGTGTTGAGTTTCAATCTGTTTTGAAGGCTGCAGTCTTTGACCTTCTGCAGCAGATGACTCTGTATATTCTTTCCATCTTCTTTTAATACTTGCAGGATCACGCAATATTCTGCCTAAATCATCTTTAAGTATTGCCTCGAGGCCTGAATTTCCTCTTCAGTTCCTTGAGCTTAAGAAATGCTGAGCGAGTTTGGCCTCTTTGATTTTCTGACTCCAGCTCTTTGCACATTTCATTATAATACTTGACTTTGTCTTGTCATGCAGCCTGGGTACATACATTTAATATCTATAATGATGTGTTCTGTTGAGCCAGAACCATCTCAGAGCTGACCATTTAGTGAGTTTTCAGAGGCAGTAAATTGCATGAGAGGAGATTGTTTGTCAGTCTCTGGTGAAGTAGTGGTAGGTTCAAAGCACGTGCCTTTGGGTTGGTAGCACAGCTCCTTACAATTGGCCCACCAGAGTTCTGTATAATATCAATAGTAGAAAACTTTATATGCCTAAATACAGAAAAAGAACATAATGAACACTTCATGCCTATCACACAGTCAGCAGTTATCCACCTATGGCTTAATCTTGTTTTATTTACCCTCCTCTGTTCCCAGTGGATTATTTTAAAGTAAACCCTGGGTGTAAATGTTTATCTCTTATCTTTTAAAAGATATTTTAAACATGCACATTTGTAAAAAAAAGTGTAAAAGCAGTATGTTGATAAGTAACAAAATTGTAAAAGAAATGTATGTTATAACAATAGTATATAATCTGTAGCCAGTGTTCAGCATTCTGTGGTTATTTCTTGTATCAATTTGAACACAAATGCAAGCTAGGTGATTCAGTGGGTTTTGTTTAAAACTTAATTCAAATTTTTTTTTATAGTCGAGGTAAAACTACAATATTTATTACTGCAGCATTGTTTGAGTCTAATGTTTCAGAATGTACTCAAGAATGAGAAAATATACAAATAAATCAGTCGTTAGATTCATCAGGCTTTTAAAAAATTTACTAGCATTTTAGGGTAGATAGATTTGTATTATTTCAATTTTATATAAGGTGTAATTCATAATAGATAGCATTATATTTTGATTAAAACATACATTAAAATCAGAGAGGAGGGAGCCAGAATGCCTTGAATTTGACCTGAGTCCTCCACTAAGGGTACGGCACTATGAAAATTGTTTCAGAGATTCATCTCTCTCCTATGGCTTAAGAAACTTTAGAATTCGTTAGTTTTTGAAAATATCTTCTGCATGTTCCTCGTATGTTTAGATCTCTGTGTGAAATCTTTGATCAAAAATATTCAGTAATAACCTCGGGTCACCATCTAATTCTTTTGACCTCACGGACAATCAGCAATTAATCTGCACATTCCCTATACTCTTTCTGTTCCTGACTCCTTGGATTCTGCAGATAGAGAACAATTATGCCTTTTAGTAGCCACTTGAAAGTTTCAGAAGTTCAGATACTGTACAACAAACTAAAGGGAAGTAGCAGTCAGTATTTGGCAGTATTAATGCTATTTTGTAGTCTTTGTGGAAACAATATGCTTTTCAGTAATTAACCTTATATTACTGATTTAATGTAAACTTACCTTTTTAACTAGGATAGAAATACTTGTCAGTTACAAAACAGGTTCAAGACCAGATAGAACACTTTAATAACCTTTGTTAAGAACTATGTGTCTGGATTGAAAGGAGTAAATTAACACCTAACATTTTTAAACTGATGAATTGATAACTCACACCACCAGACAATACATTTAACAATGTTTTCAATTACTCATTATTAACTCTCAGCCTTTGCTCCTTTTATTTTCTTTTTTTTTTTTTGACAAATAGTTGTAGTTAGTGAAGGTAAGTCTGATGTTGCTACCCCTGTGTCACTTCCCCTACTCTTCTTACAGTCTTGAAGATACATTCATACTTAGCATGCTTTTTTTTGTGGTTTTACAATTTTTTTTAAATTTAAGTTTATTATTAATTTCAGTAAAAATTTACAGAGACTTTGGATTTCCATTCATTCATTGTTGCACTTTTCTCCCCTCCTAACCCTCTCCCCTAGTAGCCTCTTGGAAAAGTAAAATTCTTTCATTGTTTTATAAACCCTCCCCCAGGTCTACTCCACCATGTAGCCTTTGCTCTAGACTCCTGTCATGACAAAAATACCTAATCACATATCCCTTTTAAACAGTTTTCTCTCTCATCTGTTTCAATGCAGTATACATTATTGAACCCATCTTTCTCAGTCTCTCTCCAACCCCAAGGTCAATCATGTTTTACAACAGTGGCACCGTGCAGTATTTGTCCTTTCATGACTGAGATACTTCACTCAGCCTGCTGTCCTCCGTAGTCACCCATTATGAATAATATGCATGAGTTCCTTGTTTTTCAATGCAGCATAGTTTTCCATGTGACTATACCACAGCTTCACTATCCATTTGTTTGTTGATGGGCACTTGGGTTGTTTCCAACTCCTTGTTACTGTAAACAAAGCCGTGATAAACATGGGTGTGCATATATCTGCTTGGATGTCAGTTATGGTCTCTTGGGGGTATATTCCAAGTAGTGGAATTGCTGGGTCAAATCATATCTCTGTCTGCAACTTTTTGAGAAAGCGCCATAGTGCCTTCCACAGTGTTTGCACCAAATTCAGTTTCTTAGGTATAGATTTCTGTCCCCATATTTTTGTTTGTGTTATTTTCCCGCCTCTACCTTTCCTTATTAATGAAATTTACTTGCCTTGTAAAATTTCTAATACTCTTTCCAGTAATTGCGTTCTTATTGTGCCTACATTTTATCTTTCCTTTAATAAGTGTAGTTAAGCATAGTGATCTTTTTAAATGTATTATAAGATTACTTTAAAATAAAAAGAATACAGAAGTAAGTATTTAGTGAGAAACAAGGAAAGGTGACCAGTAATAGAGATGTAAGATGGCCCTGTCATCCCAAAGATGTGTGGTTTAAATCTACCGGCTCCTCCTCAGGAGAAACATGAACATTTCTCCTGTGTGACTTAATGCCTCTGAAAACCCGCTGGCGGGTCAGCTATATAAGTTGATTTCAACTTCATGGTACACTGCAGCAGCACCTTCTGCCATTGAATCAGTTTCCACAGTCCCCCATTGGGCTTCTGAGGCTGTAAAAAAAGGATTTGAACTGCTGACATGCACTGCACCACCAGGCTCCTTACTAAAAGGAGTAATGGACTTTAATTCTCATCTCCGTGATAACATCCCTTTACTGAAATTGAGAATATAAATGACAAACACTTGCTTAGAGTAATTCTGGAAAGAGAGGATATGTTTAGCTATGAACATATTACAGTTGAAGTATCCGAGACATCTCAGATAAGTGTTAAAAAGTCCAGTATGTGGATCTTGGCACTCAGAAACAAGAAAGAAAGAGGGAGGGAGGTAAGAAAGGAAGTACAGGATTTGGAAGACAGCAGTTGCCTCTGGAGGGAATGAAGTTACCTAGGGAATATGTAATGTGAGAAAAGACCTCAGGCAGATCCTGAATCATACATCATTGAAGACTGGTGAAAAGTACAACCCACAAAGGAGATTTAGAAGGTATAGTTAGAGACAGAAGTGTGTTGAGTTGGAGCCGACTCACAGTTGACCCTCCAGTGGGTTTTCAGAGGCAGTATACTATATGATCTTGTGGAGCAGCTGGTGGATTCAAACTGTGTACTTTTGGTTGGTGGTGCAACTCTTGTTAAGCCACTACCAATGCTCCCTTAAATGTAAATAGAAGAGTGATAACATATAAAGTAGAACCAAGGGAAAATTTTCCTTCATTAGCTATTAGACTTTTATCACAACTACTGCAACCCATCATCAAAACAGTTAAGGGAAGAAATGTTTCATTATCTAATATTGAAAATGAACTACCTTGAACCATGTGTATTTTGCACGGTATGATTGATGCTAAATGTCATTGTATTTTGTTGAAAATATGACACTGTGTTGCATTCTTTGATTATAGCACCTGGTATAGTTTCAGAATACATAAATTAGATTTATGAAATGTTTTATCTGTTAGACACTTAAGAAATATTTGTAAATAAGCTAAGAAATGAAAAGCAAAATGAAAAACACTGAGGTGATTGTTACTATTTTGATTAATAGTGGCCAATCCGCCATGGTATAGTTGAAGATTGGGACTTGATGGAAAGGTTTATGGAGCAAGTAATCTTTAAATACTTGAGAGCAGAACCTGAAGATCATTATTTCCTTTTGGTAAGTATAAATTAAAAATTTCATTGAATAAAAACATCTGTTGTTAATAGTATATCCTTCATAAAGCTATATCATCTTTAAGACCATTCAGTTCTGTATGCCAGTACAGTACTAATTTCTCGAAGCGCAAAGTAGGTAATTAAGACATTCTTTACAGAATGAATATATAGTATTTGTGGTTGGTAATTCTCAATGACAGAAATAATTTTTAAGCTTTTTTATCAAAGCAGTTACATTCTAGTGGCTTTAATGATTCAGTGCTACAGGACTTCATAATAAAAAAGAGTATAACTCTCCTTTTTCATCTCTTCCTACCTTTGAATAGTATGCCTCAGATGCAGAAACTTATTTTTCCTGATACTGATCTCATAAATGTAAAAACACATTTTATTCCTTTTTAAAATATTAGACATTGTCTTTTTTAACATCTTGGCTATGGTGACAAGGATTTTGTTCTTTTCTGTTTACCACTTTTCCCTCAATACAAAATCCTTGCCTTCTAAATGCAAAATGATGATAATTTTTGGTTAAATTGATAAATATTATTTGTGAATATTATTTATGACTAAGAATTAATTAGAACGCTGAACGAGTTTTTATAGTGAACAACTGTATCGCTACAGTAGTCACTTATTAGCATTTTACTGTAATTACTTTTATCAGTCTTCTTTCTTGCATATTTAAAAAATTATTTGCAAATGGGAATCATTTTACTTATAAATACTTAATTGCACATTTTATCAGCTAGAGTTTGTGTTCGGTTTTTATTTCTGTAGATAAAAATTTGTACGTATTAAATAAGCAAATCTTCATCCTATCGTTTGATGTATTTGATCAGGATTTGGCAAAACTCTAATGAACCAACATTTAGGAAGTGTTTTGATTTTGTAGACCATATGGTCTCTGTTGCAGCTACTCAACTGTTGTAGCAAAAAAACCAGCCACAGACAATTAAAAACATGAATGAATAGAACTATGTTCTATTAAATTTTTATTTACAAAAACAAATAATAGTCTCAATTTGGCCTCTAAGATGTATTTTACACTCACAGCAATCTCATGGGCTACAGTAGAACTGCCTCATGGGGGTTCCAGGTATGCCTTCTTCATGGGAGCAGACAGCTCAGTCCCAAAGGTCAACAGGGCCCGTTCACAAAGACTTCGCCAGCCTCCTTTTCCCCTCCTACAGAGGGTCATGTCTCTCAGAGCCACCCGATTTTTGCTTGACTTGCAAATAAATGTAGGATTTGGCAGATCACTGCATTTGTGTAGTCTAAGCCCTTACCAAGATAAAGACTATAACTCAGCCTGAAAAATTGACTCATGGCATTTTCTTCTCAGTCTTTGATGGTCTTGTATAGCAACCAGCATTCTGATGTTTTACACCATTGCTAAATTTTGCCTGTATTTGAATTTCCTATAAATGGAATTGTGAAAGATGCACTCTTTCAGTAAAATTTCTTTCACTGAGCATAATCTTAAGATATGTTCATGTTGTTATATTTGTGCTTATATATGTTAATGACTTGTGCTTTTTTGTTGCTTGGTAATACTATTTCATTATATGACTCTCATTTTGCCTATTAATGGTTGCTTACCTTAGTGGTTTCTAGTTTTCTAAGAGTCCAAGTGATTTTGTGGACTTGTTTTCACTTCTCTTTTGTATGTCCGTTGTAAAATTGTTATGCCAATAGTGTAGATTTTGATGGACTTTATCAGAAACACTTGGGATTTTTTTAAAGAAGGTTGTAGTTGACAGAAAAAAAAAGGATGTAGCTTATTTGGGTTTTAACTTACCCTGATGACTAAGATGTTGAACACTTTTATTTTAATGTACTTATTATCTACTTCTGTATTTTCCTTTAAGAAGTTCCCTGATTATAGTTTAGGTAAAATTTTTGTTTGTCCTGGAGTTTTTCATTTAATTCTTAGTTTTAAATTTTAACTTTGTATGAATCACTAAATTATCCTTTTTTTAATTATTATTAAATTTTATTAGTTTTAATGAACATTTACTAGATTATCTTTAAACTCAAATAATAGTTAGTTGTGTAACATCTAAATAGTAATTTTTATATGCAGTTTATATGTAGTTTTATATGCAGGATAAGTTGTCTCTTAGCTCTTGTCTTTTCACTTTATTATATCTTTTAGACATTCAAATAATTTAATTTGTAATCAATTAAAATATCATCTGTCTTTCCATTTGTTATTTCTGTGCTTTAATGAATAATTCCTTATCCCAAGAAGGAGCATTTTCCCCAGTTCCAAGCTTTAGTAATTTAAAGGCTTTACAGGCACAGATGAAATAGGAAGTCCAGGATTGCTGGCACAATTCCCTAGGTCATTTCTCACCTCATTAATATATGCCTGGACAGATTAGATTTATGTAGTTTCTAAATGGTATATCCTGTGAGGTCACTCACACCAAAGAGAGCTGTTTTAAAAATGTTGTACTGTAATAGTTATAGCATTGAAGCTATGCCATAAATTTGTATGATCTTGGCTTATTTGCTATCATTGCAGACAGATCAATATATCCTGCTAAAATCATTCCGTTGATTGAAGATTGTCCCATTGGCAAATACCATCAGTGTGTTTGCCTAGAGATTTGTTATTACCATTTTTACACAGGATCCCCTTTCTTTAACTTGTCTTTGTTGTCTTTCTTGATTGGTCTTACTTTGCTGGGATATTCTGTTAGTAATCTCTTCTTTCTCAGTGTTCAGTTATGTGGTACAAGTATTTAGGGTTTTTTTAGTTTTTTTATGTAAGTAACCATGTTGTTTTCTTACACATATAGGTCTGTTTGAGTTGTCTATTTGAGTAATTTTCCTTTGGTCTCCATGTTTGTCTCTGTATGTCTTTAGTGCCATTACTTTTTAATGACTTTGTTTTAAATTAATTACTAATTTAAGTTATCAAAATAACCTCATAATGCCTCCTCAATTCAATAGACTGAACCTCCACTGAATACTCCAGAAAACAGGGAATATACTGCTGAAATAATGTTCGAATCATTCAATGTACCAGGCTTATATATTGCTGTGCAGGTAAGCAGAATCATATTTGGTTAAACTTGATTCTTCATTTTAATCTGATTTCGTTTACTTCTTGAGATATTAAAGGCAGTGCTTTAAACATAAATTGAGTACATATTATGGTTCTCTACTTAAATCATTAATTTAGTACCTAGCAGAAGGGTCATGTAAAGAAATTAAGTTTATGGTCTTTTTGATAGTTCAAGGCCTTTTATATGGGAAAGAGAAGAAAATGGTAATTTTATTAAATGCAGACTTTATTCCATAAACTTCACATGCATATTCATTTATCTTCATAACTTGTGTTGTAGGCTTCCTTTCCCTGCATAAAGGCTAGGTATATTTTATATATACCTGTGTCTTGTATGTTCTGTCAAGCATAAATCTAATATTTTACTGTACTTATATTCTTAATAATTTTTATGAAGAACTTCTGTCTCCTGTTTCATTGTTAGAGCTTGTTGTTGTTATGTGCCATTGAGTCACTGTGACTCATAGTGACCCTGTGTACCCTAAATCCTGCTCTATCCTGTACGAACTTTATTGTCACTGACACACCTACCCCCAGTGTCTTCCTCTTTTGTGCTGTGCCTCCAGTCTCCCAAGCATGTTGTCACTCTCCAAGGAATGGTCCCTCCTTGCAACAAGCCCAAAGTATGTCAGACAGAGCTTGAGAATTCTTGCTTCCAAAGAGCAGTCCACTTTCAACCTCTCTGTGACAACCTCTCTGTTCTCCTAGCAATCCATATTCAATGCTCTTCTCCAGCACCAGAGCTCAAAGGCATCAGTTCTCCTCCTATCGTCCCTAGTCATTGTCCAGCTTTCTGATGCATAACAAGTAATTGCAAAAACTGTGGCCTGGATCAGGCACACTTAAATCTCCAGAGGGACGTCGTTGCTCTTTGGAGAGGTCCCTGACTGCAGACTTGTTTTTTTCCTTTCTACCCATTGTGATACCTAAAAAGGAGGGGGAAAACCCAACTACCCAAAAAAGTGATAACCTAACATATTACGATGCTTAGTAAGATATATAAATTAATAATTAACTATAGGTCTTAACTGTTTACTAGTGACTTAAAAATGTTCAAAAGATAATTCTTGCTTATAAATGAGGATCATTTTTCACAGTGAAATTATCTGCTAAATTTTATAATACTTGTATAGAATTTTTCATTGTAATACCTTCCAAAACTATTATATACTTGTGTCAGCTTACATTAATTATGGTGTGGATCTGTGTTAAAATAGGGAGATGGCCTAGATGACTTTCTAGGTCTCTTTCATCTTTCATTTTATAAATAGGCAAAATAAAACCTAACGCTGCTTTTCATGATTAATGATACATCTTGTTTGAGGTTTATGTTATAAGAACTCTAGATTTTATATCTCACTTTATAATGACTTCTATTGTAGGCGATGTTACATATTGCTAAATGCATGTTGCATTTAAAAAATAGGATGCTAATTTTATTCAATAAAATCAGTGTTTTACAGTCATAAATTTAATAACTAGTGTGAATATGTATTTTTCTGCCTTATTTCACCTTTTAAATTTGTGATGGGTTAACCTATGTAAACAGAAATTAAACAAGCCCTGGCAGTCTATTTTACTTTCTCATGTTAGTCTCCCGTGTTGTTTTTTTTTTAGCTTTTTTTTGTAAGAAAAATGACTTTAATTAAAATATAACGGTGTCCCTAAATATAAATAAAACCTTGTGAATGTCTCAATAATGATGCAATATTATGTAGAAGCTGCATTATATAATATAAATGGGTCTTTAATATTTTCTTTTTGTAGATACTACATTTAGGATTTAATACAGTGAATACTTTTTCTAATAACTTTATTTTTCTTTGTATTGTTTGCCGGTCTTACCTTTTTTGTCCCAGGCTGTTCTTGCACTCGCTGCATCCTGGACCTCTAGACAAGTAGGAGAACGGACATTGACCGGTACTGTAATAGACAGTGGAGATGGGGTCACACACGTCATTCCTGTGGTAAGGATAGCTTTAAAAACCTACTGAATAAAAGAGTTCCTTAAGGAGTTAGGCTGCTAACCCAAGGTTTGAAGCCATCAGCTATTGGGAGAAAGATAGGCAGTCTCTACCATTATGCATTCAGTGTTTATTTGAATGCTTTTTAAAAATGCTTTTACAGACAATGTATTTTCTTTTCTAAATGGTACACCAAATACTTATTAAACTTGTGTTTAATAAAGTACAAGATCTTCTAATTGAATTCTCAAAACAAATGTATTTAGATTTATTATGTTTTCATAGCTTCTTTACTGTTCTCATTTATAAATGAGGACTTAGGACTTGAGCTAATGTTACTAAATACACATAGTTGGGCTGGGAGTTGAACTTAGTTCAGTCTGGTAAGCATTGATTTTAGTGTCTTAAATTCGTACTAGAATAGGTAATTGGCAAAAAGATGTTAGTTATCAAAGTAAAAAACGACTTACAGTAAAGATATTGAAAGTAAGTATTCCTGTTGTCCTTCCCTTTTTTTGAGTCATTGTTTTTTCATTATTCCTTATTAGCTCTGCTATCTAATCTTTATTGGTTTGAGTTATTGTGGTGTTTTTTTTTTTTTTAGGATTGATAGTAAACATCCTAAACCTTTTCAAACTCTTAACTTTAAATAGTATTCCATCTCCTTAATGGTATATTTTCATATTCTCCATCCTTTCTTTGTATACTTTGGTCATTCATTTTGCTTTTATATATTTTTTATCTCCGTAATACATTTTTAATTAGTTTTATTGTGTTTTGGACATGACAGTCCTACCTCTGCAGCATTTGACTAGTAGCTCCATCCTCTTTGCCTATTTAAATTGCTCTCTCCATGCTGGAACTGAGTTAGGGGATGTCTGTTTCTTAAAGACCTAGGTATTGTTCTACCCTGTGAAACTTGGCTCTACACTTTGAAACTTAGGAGGTCAGGAGTTCTTCCTTTGAACCAAGCCAGCCCTATTTTTAGTGTTCCTTCCAATGTTTCCCTGATCTCCAAGCTGCTCCAGGGATGGTCATTTTCTTTTTGTGTAGGACAACAGTTAATGCTCCTTTGGCTCTTTTTTTTGTTTTGTTTTGTTTTGTTTTGTTTTGTTTTGTTGTTTGCTTGTAGACTTTAAAAAGGGAGACAGATTTCCTCCTTTCATTTGTTCTCTCTACTTTTCAGGCCAAACAAATGTCATTTCTTTTTGGTAGTTGTCTAGAACCATCAATTAAGAGGCTTAATTGTGTCACCAAGGTTTCAGTGAGTGTTGGATATATCCGTAATTTATAAAATAGTTTGACAGATCTTTTAAGTTCTAGTTTCACTTGGAACGGTTCATTTTTAAACCTGTATTTTTTTCTCTCACATCCTACTGTAAGATACAAAGAAAAAAAATCACTTCTTTAGACTCTTGGTTAGAAATCTCTTTAATCAAATAATCAAGGTAATTTTTAAAAATCTACCCTTCTGTAAGCAGTTGATCATAATTTAGACAAGTTCTTTGCCACTGCGTAAAAAGCTGCACTTTTCCTCTTTTGTCTGATCATAATACTCATCATTTTGTTTTGCAACCTTGAAAGAAGCGCATATAGTGGTCACATTTATGGCAACAGTCTGTTAATGATGCCATCTGTGCTCTCCATGATGACAGAAACTTTCTGTAGGTCTTCTCACTTCTTTCTGAACCCTGACCAGAATTTCCTTTGTTGTATGTAATTTTACCAAGCAGTCTTTTCAAAGTAATCCTTGCTTTACTAGGAAGTACATAAAATTTCTTCAGCTTCTACCCCTAACCCAGTTGCAAACCTGTTTCTATATCTTACATTATTTGTTAGGATAACACTGTACCCCCATGGCATCCAGTTTTATTTTAATTATCAAGTGATACCATTGCAGAAATACAAGTAAATAACTTTAACAGATTTATTTTCTCACAAGTTAGGAGGCTAGAACTCCAAATTCAGGAATTCTAAGAGGTTTTCTCTGTTGGCTCTCGGTAAGTATCTGTCTCTTCAGCTTCTACTGTCCAGTTTCTTGGGGATTGTCATGTGACATGGCATCATGCTTGTTCAGTTTGCTCTTTATCTCAAAAGAGAGACTTAAGATAGATATACTTAATTAGATATACTTCCTCACTAACATAAAGAAAACACATTCCTAAATGAGATTGTAACCACAGGTTATAGGTGTAGGATTAGCAACTCATATTTGGAGATGACAAAGTTCTGTCCCAGCAGTACCTAAATTGGTTTTGAGGTGTTTTTTTTCTTTTTCCCCTCCAAGGCTAATTGAGTATCTCTGATACCTTGATTTGTCATTTCCCTCAGATAAGGGAAAGTTTTTTCTATTGATGATTGGTTGGTGAGTACTATAGAGTTGGAACCAACCCACAGCTGACCCTCAGGCGGGTTTTCAGAGGCACAGGAGGAGATTGCACATCCTTCTCCCATGGAGCAATTACTGGCCTCGAACCACGTGCCTTCAGGATTGCAGTGCAGCTTCTTGCCACTAGGTCACCAGAACTCCCTGTTTTTTCTGTTATTTCTTCTGTTTTCTGTTCTTTAGTCTCTTCTTCAGTGACTCCATGTGCACATATAATTGTTTTAGGTTGTCTCAGAGTTGACAGATGCTCTGCCTTTTCCCCATCCCCATGCTTCTAATTTTCTTTCTGTGGTGTTTATGAAGAGCCTGATGGTGCAGTACCATAGTGTGTAGGTGCTGACTGAAGGCCCAATTGTTTGGGCCCACAGTGATTCATTGGGAGAAAGATAGCAACCTTGGGAAGCCTATGGTGCCGTTGCACTCTGTCCCATAGTTCACTCACAGTTGGAGTCAATGCTACAGCAAGAATTTGGGATTTTGGGGTTGGCGGATTTCTTTTCTGCTTAATTTTGGATAAGTT